AACTGCAGTGCAGTATACTCGTCCTTTGACAGATAATCGGATATCTTGCCAGTCGGTGCGACAGATGACGCAAGTTGACAAATGCCAAACACCCCTTCTGTATTCCAGCTGAGAGTTCATTAACAACCATCCCGTTTGGGCTGATTCTACTTCAAAAATAAGTGAAGTGGTCGACATATCCCACCAATTGACTCCCTGTCTTTAAAATAGAAGTAGGTGCAGACCAGTCCTGAAGCATCATTTCACATTTGACACGTGCAAGACGAGTGCTAAAATATAGTAAGATTTCTGCTCAACGTGTCTAGAAGACCCTGCATTTTGCCAGCGTCTTCACCTACTAAAACAATGTGCTCTGTATACTTCAGGTCAACCAAATAACCTCCAGGGAGTAGATCAATCCCTGTGAAGTTAGACGTACCTAAGGTTATGTTCGTTAGTATGTCTATGATGGAGTTAAATAGGAGTGGTGACAGTGGACACCCCTTGCGAACAACACTAATTGTCATTGATTCACATGACAACCCTCCACAAGCCCTTACAGGGCTGTATGAGTTCCACTAGAGATCTTTGATTAGTTTTATATGCCTGCTCAATTCCCCTTTTCACAGCGAGACCTCACTACAACAGCTCACAATGTACTGAGTCCAATGCCGTCTTCAGGTCAAGAAATATTGCAGGTATCAGCCACTGGATGGTAGGCATCCATGTTTTGGAGAACCTGCTGTAAGGTGAAAATACGATCGATGCATTCTAAACCAGATCTGAGATCTGCCTAGTTTTCTCAAGTTTGCTGTTATCAAGTGGAGCCCCAGTTAAGTGTCGGATAACTATGGACCTTAGGATTTTGGACACAATATTGGTCAAACTTATTTTCCTATGGTTGTCACAAGAAGATTTTTTCTCCCCATAGACTGGAATGATCAGAAAAGTAGACTAGTCTGACGGCACTACCTCTGATTCTTATACACTACCTAGTATCGCCGTAACGTTAATTGGTGATTTCTTACCTTCATCCTTGCTCCAGCTTCCTTGTTTAGTTTATAAGTAACTGTTCACTGTTATCCATAGTCTTCCTTTCCTCTCTCTCTTTAGCTTTCTCTTCTCACCACTGTTCACAATCATTTCGTAGGCTCTGCATATCTATATTTGGTTTGCTTCAACTCCTCACTGTGCTCGAAGCTTGCCGGAGAGCGTTCACGCACATCAATTAATCCAAAGGTGCTAAGATCTACTGAGCTGTAACTCGTTCTAGGCACTCTACCTCTATTCTGTGGGTTATCTGCCGAGGTTTAGACAGTCGAATAGTGTTATTAGTCGCGACAAAATAGGCGTCGCTGATTGCCTACTGCACATGTGGTTGTTGAGTGCATTCCATTCCATTTCGACTGACCACTTGTAACCTCTTTCTGAAAGTCAGTAATGGTCTTTGATACTGTTTTTACAGGATGCTGGAGATGGTGCCAGGCTTCTCTCGGATAGGCGATATTGTCTTGTTGCGACAGTTACTTAACGAGTTCCTCATTGAAAATAGCTTTGATAGTCTCATCGTCGAGCTGCGTTTGGAATAGTTTTGTTGCTAAAGTTTTTCTGCGTTCATTTAGATGCAGACATATACATGATCGCTGTCCAAACATGTGCTCCAGAAGGAGTAGCAATCTTTCACCAACCCTCTTCAGCGTTAAGTGATAGCAGTTTGGTTCTGACTTAATAAGTCCAACTAGGAAACTAATGCCAGCAGTACCGGAATACTGCAGTGTTGGAGGAAGTACGCTATTTTTAGACAGAACTTTTCTAACATCCTCTTTCTCATAGGAAAGGCGCTATCAGCATGGCACTGCTGGTTATCTGAGTGAAACTACTTACAGTTATGGCGCCATCATCCAGCCAGCAATACGATTTCACCCTAGGACCCCCATCATGGCGTAGCAACCTGCACTGTAATGGCAGCTGCTTTTAGCCTCAACACTACCCAATATAGTTTCTTAGTATGGTGGGACCTCAAAGAAACAAGCTTTCTAACCATCATAACTCCTTGAGTCACTGTGAAATCTAAGGTTGATCACCCCATCAAGGTAGCAGCTACCAGTCGGGTTACTTCCATGTATCTTAGTAAAATTCCAGTTCGTATGGAACTTAGATCACATCAAAAACGTTGTGTACCGATAAGCATAGACTCGTTTTATTATCCTTTTTAAACGATGCAGTCATTACTGTCTATCTACTAATTTGTCGTTTAGATCTGCTAAGACTATGGACTTTATTTCTCAGGTATCTGACACAATTGTTCACACCGATGTGATTTCCACCTAATGATGGAGAGCGACTTCCCTAAGTAGTAGTTATATGTTGATACATCCTGAATGGAGTTTTTTGTGTGCTGAAAATCTCCATTTCCGATTATTTTCTCCCGTTATTTTGGTGTGGCAACTTAAATCAATGCACCGCTTTTTTTATGTCTGTCTCCAATGGACTTTTTGTTCGTATAACAGTCATAATATGAGCCATTGTGAAACTCTGTGTAATTATGATATAACGATCACCTGTTGGTAGACTTTCATCGAACTCGCTATTGGATTATTGTTTAAAAGAGCATGCATAATTTTGGTGGTGATAGTTTATTCAGTCAGCTTGACAATCTAAAAGGAAACAACAAGAAAATTTCAGCTGATGACTTGGTAAACATAGTGCGCTAACATTTGCAATAGATCAATTCGCGTTAGTCACAATTGCTTCAGTGAGAAGGTAAGGTAGTCTGAAGGTTTAAAAATGAGCTACATTCCAGCAGTTCTCTCCTCTTTTTCAGTGTAATAACAAAAAGTAAGATAATGGAAAGTGTAATGAGTGTTTTAAAACTAAAGTAACACAATGCCTAGTGTTAATAGCCAGCCGTCTACCCCAGGGGTAGATTTTTGGTCTTTTTGCGTATAGTTCCTCAGTAACATTTCATGGCTTTGGCTCAGTGGTTTAAGGAGATGACTATCGACTATCAACCATTTGGTCACGGGTTTAAACGTCGCCCCACCTACCGAGGTCCGGGCATCCAGGTAGTATCACTAGCCCTCACACAACAGGCGTGGCTCATTACCTGCTACATGGATGTGCATGAGGTGGTTGAGTGAGTTTTCCTTCTTTTTTTCCGCACCATTTCGTCATACATGCTATATCAAGTAAACTTATTTAATATGGAATTTTAGTGTAGCAGTACCTTAGTTCTACTCTTACTAAAATAGTATAGGCCATCAGAGTAGTCACGGTCGTAACAGTTATTAATGTCGCCGGCATATATAGATAACTTAATAGTTTTGTGAAAGTTTCGAGTCCACCCATTCTGTGTGATATGAAGTTGTCATATGACAGAAAAGTGGCCTTACATTTACTCACAAATCATGTACAAGTTCATCAAGCTCTGGTTCATTGATCAACCCGTGAGTATTTGAATCCCGCTGTAGCCACGGTTATTTAAGCAGTGAGGTAGAATCATTAACCCTCAAACAATGGAGGACGTTCTTTTCGATAACCTCCTCGTCAAAAAGACAATTATTTTCGCTGTAACCTCCTTTTGTTTTCCAATCACCAAATGAGGTTTTTCATCATTTAAGGAATTGCAAGGGCTTTTTGGTGGTTAAGAAACTAGATAAGTTGCTGCATTTTCACATCGAGCTAACCGACGCAAATGCGAGAATTTATTTCTTCAAGAAGTGTACTGAGGATCGCGAGTATCCAAAAATGTTTTAGAAGAATCTTCACCGTAACCATATCCCTCCCAACTCACGAACTCTGAAACTACATAGTCTGAATCTTATAGATCCTGTTCATTCTCGATTAGCAGAACTCGAACTCAACATACCACAGATACCCTGCGTTCTTTATATATTATCGACAGAAGAAAGAAATTAATTTGGCGAATACGTTACCAGCATCATTAAGAAACGAACTGGAAATGTTGACATGAAGCCTTGAGAATAGTACATTATTCCCAACAATCGACCAACTTCATGTATATAAAAGAAACATGAACGATACCATTGTTTGAAATGAAAACCTGGACTCCTAACGCACCTTCAAAATTTCAATAACAGCCACTATCCAGTCAAATTTACACCGGAAGCTGAATCAAACTTGACGTTCTGTTTTCCTGACGTCAAACCCCAAAGGAGGTACGACAATCCTATTCAAAGATCCATCTACAGGAAACCCAATTAGAACAGGAAACTGACCAACTTTCACAGTTTGATACCTTTAAGTAGGAGAAGGAATCTCGTGCGCTCACTCTTATAAAAAAGAAAGATATTCAGTGATTATACTTTTATTCAAGAATCAGAAACCTTGCGAGAAATGCTGTCAGAGAATATTCACCTATTTATATTCATAAAGAAAAATGGGGAGGAAAAGAAGACTATGGGACAGATTCAATCAACTCCGAAGAAATTACTTTTAATGAACCTCAGATTCAAAAGTAATATTGCTACGGACATCCTTTGTCAGAGTACTGAAGTAGAATATTCTATGCTGCAAACCGTACTGTGTTCTCATGTCAACAGCTGATTTGTCTGTGCTTGAAAGGCGAGTTGAAGCATTGGGCCTCATCACTGTGTATTCACAAGCTCACTTGCTCCCGTGGAGCTGAGTACATCAACCGTACTATGCGCTCACGAACGTTATCCAGCTCGGTTGCTAAAGGGTGAATACAAAATCATCGCCAGCTCCATCATTGGACGCCTCGTAGACTTTGAACATCTGACTTCCCTGAAAACTTTGTTGAAAGCTGTTCACTAAGTTCTACTAAACCATTCAAAAGAAGTGAGGATTAAACACTTATGTACAGCCGAAGCTTACGAAATTCGAAGCTTCAAGCCTCAGTTGTGTATTTAAGAGAAGCATGTACTAACACTTACTTTACCGTTGCCTTAAACGGATACTCTGCACCTCTGTTTATTTTTAATTTTTGTATTTTATTTGTCTATTCACATATTTCTTTATATGTTTATTTATTTTACTAGATACTAAATCTTACTATTCAATGCATCTTATAAAAACTGTTGATATCATGTCTTATGCTACGTAATATCATTTCATTCCCTACATACATCTGTCGACTCGATTTGACCTTTGACGGGAAACTTGTCTGGAATATTCTATCATTTTACACATCTATTTGCAGATATATAGCTGTGAAAATTAGTCGTCGAATAGATAATGATCTTCCCTGTAGCCTTTTGTTTTTGAATTTTCGAGAATAATTGGTTCTAACATTGCCGTTAGCACAAGATTTTTCGGAAGACAATTCCCTAATTGTTTAATATTATTAACAGACTGTTAAAGGAAACCTCAGAACTTCATAATATGGGCATGTAAGTGTGGGAACTAAAGTTATTGATAAGAATATTTTGCTTGTTCGTTTATCTTTTAAATTATAATAGGAGTTTTCAAGGACCTCACTCAATAAGTGTGTCCCATGACCTAGTGCATGGAAATGCATATGGTCTCTGAGGGAATTAGTTGGTTCATTCACTTGTCGATAAACTGTATTCATTTTGTAAAGATCAGGGATATTTGGCTGCTGACACCTTGGTCGGTAAGGTGAAGTTCGTACCCATGACCCATCGGCAGAAAGTTGGCTATCCATACTGATGTGTCACAGCTGTTATTTCTTCAACTGGAGACGTGTTCTAAATAGATCGATATTTAATCGTTCTTATCCTGAGATAAGGGAGTACCATAATTAATGAACAGATAGTTGTTATGTGCTATTTTTGTTCTTCCAACACATTCGCAAAAACAGTATATGCGAGAATATTTGAAAAATAAGTAACTATACCAATTAATAATTTTCACAGGTGCTTAAAAACATACTTCGATAAGCAATGCAGGTAAATTGTTTGAACTGTAGTTTCAACCTCACGCTTACAGAAGCCGAAATTGATCACCTCGATGAGGTTTCATTTGCACGCCATTGATTGAGGAGTGATTATTTAAATCGCCTAGATGGCTGTATGGTGTTCTATTTCCTGTAAGTACTTAGTGCTGACACATCTGGTGTGTCGGGAGTTCAGCCCGGTAATCAAACAATGTGAAAACATGTAGATTACTCAATACTTACTATAGTGGTGATAGTCGGTTTCACGTTTCACACCAAACGGTTCAGGTTATGCTGGTCCAATTATGTTTTTTAATGCTACAACTTAAAGAAAGCTGAATCAATCAGTAAAACTATAGGCAGCTGTTGTTGGTTAGCAAAACTAATGATGTAACCAAACAGGTACTTACGACTGTAACATACATTGACTCATTTTGATAAAATGTGAATGGATATAGGAACCAGAACTAAATAGTTATGAAAAGACAGTTACTTTATGAGCAAACTAGATCACATTTCACAATGAAAAAACGTTCGAAAAATTAAAACTGAAATAACAGTTATAACTCATCAGACAAAAATTAGTGCTACAAAGTACAAAATTATTTTTTTCTAAATATCACCTCAATTATGTCATAGGCCAAACCTGTTGTGTGAGGGCCAGTGATACTACCTGGCTGCCTAAACCTCAATAGGTTGGGTGTGGTTCGATTCTATGACCCATTGGTTGAAAGTCGTCTCCCTAAACCAATGAGTCATGGCTTCACTTTTAGTTACCAGGATAAAGTTTAAGTGAATCTAATTGTCGGTAGATATTCCTAGAAAGTAATTAAATTTCCCAGTAGTTATCACCCATGAATATAAAGCTTATACCTTTGTCACTGTAACAACTCTCAGCAGTGCTGACTTCTGTTGTAAATAAGACGGGATTAGAAAAGGCCCATTTTTAAACCTATATTCTGCCCTATGTCGTTTTTATTGATATTTCTGACTATTGTTAGTAAACAAATTTAATAGGACTCAACCCGATAAAAGTCTACTCACTAGACTATGGGCTAAACTAATTGCGCCAAAGTTTATACTACTACATGGTTCTCTGGGCCGAAGCAGGAGGCTTTGAACCAGAAGAAACTTATTTGTATGTTTCTAGAAACTCTATTCTTTATTCTGGGCGGCTTGGGCTTCTATTTGCGATATGCTCTAACAAATGAGGTGCTGAACTACACTTCGACCAACTACGATTATTTTACTGCCTTGTACTGAGTGAAAAATGTTTCTCTGTTCGCATCCTCAAGTCCCTAATGCAGAATCCGCTTCACTACATATGAAAGACTTTGATCTTCTAAGGAAGATACAATGAATAGGCTCTTTCAACAACACAACTTGTTCGTCCTAAAATATCATCGCAAATAAGGTCGCAGGAGATTTTTCGTCATGCGAATCAACTTAAGGGATAATTATGGCAAATCCGGGACAGAGAATCATATGGAAACCCAGCTGAAGTAGCTGTCCAAGCAGCAAAAGCAGAGGACTTCTTACAAAGAATACATGCCGTATGGAATGCTGTGCAACGGGAAGTTGCAATAGCTCGGGCTGTGGAACTGCTCAAAAGGCGATCGAGAGAATACGTTTGCATTCATGGGTCACTACTGATCTACTTGAGAAAACTCTGACCCTACTAACCCATCATGGTAGTCACACAGTGATATCCTTTCCTTTTCGTAGCCCTCCTTTTCCACTGATACCTACCACTATGAGGCGTGATGTTTGAAAAGGGGAGTGACTTTTCCCATTCAGCCAGATTCTTGCCATTTTTATGTTTACACATTAAGGGCTGTTGTAATTTTGCAGTAGTTGGAATATTATTCAATTTCTGCCTCATGGTGGGCCAAAAGTGCCAGAAAAATGCTCATGACAGGGCGGGTGCTGCCTCATAGTGGCCTCCGGCATGCACAGTAGCGAATGTGAGAGTTGGAACGAGCCTCACACCCTCAGTATATAAGAGGCACAGCAACGCAGGAAGTGTTTGGCTTTTTGCGTTGTGCTGCTTGAATATTCTCACTCTGGTAGAAGATAAAACGCTTCTAAATAAGATAACTAGAAACTGTCGTCAGAAGTCAAAGCCGATAACTGTAACAGTGATGACAACACAGCATCCATTGACACACAGATTGCAGTGCAAAATTTTCAGAACGACTAGCTGCAAGTCGGCCGCGTAGACTACTTACTAGGTTTGCTTACAGCGACTTGGATAAAACTACACCAAGCAGGGTGAAGCGAGCATCTTCTGGATCTCTCACTCCCAGAGCTGGCAGACCACCCTGAAAACTGCTGAAAGCAAGACTAGGTCTACTTCAGATGAAGGAAACGAGGGTGAAGCGCTCTCAGTTCCAGCGACAGAACCACGCAGGCTGCTGGCCATACCCAGTTTGACGACGCAATCGTTGACGGAAATCACACTGAACGGGGTGCAGGTCCGCTTTGAGGCTCTCAGTGTCGAGGTCACTGAACTAGGCTTCAGTAAACCTTGCATACCCGACTCTGAAAAATGGCAAGTAACTAAGCCTCAACGCTATGCTAAGAAGCCAATAACGGTAACCAAGCTAGCTATCATCGCTCCATACAGCAAAGACAAAGTGGAGCCCCTTGACATGTCCGTAATTTTCCAAAGAGTGGAAGAAAGAAGGAACCCAGAACCACGGGAACGCTTTGAACATGACCTTGGCAAAATACAAGGTTTGATAAACCAGCCTTTACCAGAAAAACGCCAGGAGTCACCTTACTCAAGATATGTATAGAGTAGGAAAACGGGAAGCAGTTATCACTGGAAATGTCTTTCGGCTACTTGAGCATGTATTCAAGTCAGCAGATGAAAGGAATGAGGTTCTGAGGGATGCTCGCAGGCTTCAAGGATCTGTAGTGTTCGTGGGAAAGGATCTGACTCCTGCTGATCGAATCAAGAATGGAGGAGCAGAGGCAGAACCAAAATCCAGATTAGCAGCTGGAGAGCAAGATCTGAGAGTGGTAGGATTCGTCGCTTTTAGAAATGAAAGGTTGGCACGCAAAGGTGGTGGTGTCATCCTTACGTTAAAAATAACTTACTGTAGAAGCCATAGAAACTGTTTCACACGAAAGTGGGACATGTGAAATGCTGCGTTGCCAGCTAAATGCAAGGGCAAGATGTTAACACAATCGTGAGTTGTCGAAGCCCTGAATGTGAAGCATCAAACTTCCTCCTGAATCAGGCGATACTCCAGATGGAAAAATGCCGATGTCTAGTTGTATGAGATTTCGACGCACCTCAGTTGACTGCGATAGACTAACAACAATAACACCAAGTAATTGGTTTGACCACCTGTTAATGGAAACATAAATTTCCTTAGCCCTCACACAGCACATTAAGACACCAACCAGATATGGTCATCAGCATGCTCTATCAGTTCTGGACTTGGTGTTCTCACACACAGATGACGTGTGCTTCATCCCTCACCTAGCATCCCTCGACAGAAGTGATCACACCATGATCATCTTCAGATTCACAACAGACGTCGTGTACCAGGCCGTTGCCCCAGCTAGACCCAACATATGGAAAGCGAATACGGAAACTATTAACCTGACAGCCTCTTCAGCGGACTGGATAGTCAATCCAGAAGCGATTGTATGCACGAATGACACAACCGTTCATTCAGTGGACTGTCCAGAGAGGACGGAAGCACTGTTCTCCGCGGATAAACCAGGAAATCCGCATCTTGCTATGACGTAAGAAAAAGTGTTGGAGTCTCGCCACCTACCTCAGTACACCCGAAGTGGTGAGGCATGACGAAGAAACTCGCGATAAATGCACAGCTGCTATCCGCCGGTCTCGAATGTGCTTTGAAACACGTCTTGCCAAGGCTGCATGGCAACATCCGAAGAGGTTACTTTTCTCATACAGACCAAACTCTGTGGATGTCGATCGCAATGGTCTATTTGGGAAATAAGGTAATCTGGACGTGGAAAAATCAACGGGACCGGATGAGCTGCATCTCAGGCTGATCAGAGAGCTTGCAGTCTATGTAGCTGACCACTGACTACTATATTCAGACTGTCTCCCAATGAAGGCACACTCCCCCATGACTGGAAGGATGCGATGGTAACGCGTATCCACAAGGCAGGTTCTAGACAGCTTCCATCAAATAACAGACCAACAAATTTGACTAGCACTGTAG